GCATTAAGATCATCAATTAGTGCACTCGCAGCTTCATTATATATATTATATTGCCGTAAGTTATGCTGTTTTTTGAAATTATCTACCCATCCATTAGAACCCTTAAATTTATTCTCACCAAACAAAAAAACAAACCATAAAGCCTTTGTTAAAAGAATACTATCAGTTATAATTAGGTCAGCTTGGAACGCGTTTTTTACTCAAAGAGTTAAAGTTTTCTCAATAAAAGGAAAGTTTTTTTTTTCACATTTCAACTTAGCTTTATATGATTTAAGATCTATAGCAAGCTAACGGTCCTTTTCTTTTAAAATATCACTAACCAAACCCTCACTAACTTCATATTCGTTTGCTAGATCTTTTTGTTTTAGTAATGGGAATGAAGTTTTTTTTTAAACAAATCTCTTTTTTATACAATAGTAAGAGACTTTCATTTTTTTTAAAGGTTTATTATTATGTTCCTTTTGGTTCTTTGCTTTTGGCATACTTATGTTATTATGTTAAAGAAATATGAAAAATAATTGTGAAATATGCGAAACAAAGAAACATTTATAAAAAATACTGCAAAACATTACATGAAACACTTTCGTTAATTTTATTAAGGTAAGAAAATTACTTTCGTAAACTTTATTAAGATACAAAAATTACTTTCATTAACTTTATTAAACAAAAAATTACAAAATTTCATGATCTTTTCTATTAAAATTAATTTTTTGTAAATCTTCGTTGTATTAAAAAGAAACTTCATTATAAATAAATGCGTTATACAAAGATGCATTTATATAATGCATATTCACATACTTAAATTTGTTAAACATAATACGAATTTTAGTTTAATAAATTCAGTATAATAAGGTTTTTTCTAAGAAACTGGCAGCCCTATCTTAGTTGGTAACAATTGAGATCCTATTATAGGTTATACTGCAATAGATTCTAGTTCATCCCCTAGTCAAGGCAAATTATGGTATTAATTTACTATAGGATTTACCAGTTCAATTCTGAAAATAAATTTCATAGGATGTATATAAATCATGTACATTAAAGATCACAAATTTATAGAATAACATGATCATTTGATATTTGTTTATATGAAGGATGGTAGCTCTCATGGCATAAGCTATGTAAGGTCACTTCGTCTATACACCATCCTGTTTACAGGTAATGGTGATAAGTAACTTAAAGCATAATGAACCAATTGAGTTTGAAACCTATGTTAAGAGGCTGGTCTGTAATGGACAAGTGTCACATTATCTGCAAAGGGTACCTGTAAGGGTAGGATCGATAGTAGGTATTGTATAACTTAGATTGAACAATAGTCACAAGTTATAGGTGGTTAATATTACACTGTCTTTAACCATTATGATGCCTATATCACAACTAGGCTTTGGAGGTCTGAGTTCGATTCTTGGGGTGATTTTGATGTATGTGAAACAACTATGGTGTAGGCTATCATCTTAAGTTGTTCTTGACACTCTTTCCAGTAGTTGTGATGAATGTGAATGATGACAGTTACCAAAATACTCTATTATAAGGTTTAGTGATTTAACAGTCTACTCGAGTAGTGACACTCATTCACCTAGGTTTAACGCAAATTCACACTGAGTTGCAATATACCAAAAGGGGTTAAAGTGGTAATTATATATCATAAGTCATATCATTCTATTGAAGGGTATGCAGATAAACTTTACCATCGATACGTGCCTAGTAAAAGTATCAAAAAAAATAAGGTTTTTTCTATATTTAAAATCTGTATCACACTATAGATCTGTTATATCATAAAATTCATTATATCAAAATTCGCTATAGAAAGAGTTGACTGTATAAATAAAAGATCAAGAAGAGTAAATGATTTTAAAAAAATGACTTATTGAAGATCCAGTTAATATAGATGGTTTTTTAAAAAAAGTCAAAGCCACTTGTTATTTGTCAATAAAAAAATATTAGAATGTACAGTCATATTACAAAGTAACACTCAATTAAAATTTTATAATAAAACAAATAAAAATAGAAAATTTAAAGTTATAAAATATTTGCATTTTTCTTTACAATTATCTTTGAATTATATTATATATCTTTTTATGGCTAATCAAATCTACTTTTAAAAAATAAAACAAAAGGCATCCTAGACTTAAGATGTAAAGTTGAAAATTTTTTATATATATCTCCTCTATATCTATTATTATAAAAAAAATTTACTTATAAAAAATTGAAAATTTCTAACCATATACACAATCATATTAAAATTGTTTTCAAATTTTATTAGTTTTAAAATTTATAAAAATTTTGATATACATTTTACTATATAATTTCAAATTTGAGCATTACTTTACGATGCGACTGTATCTACACTAACTGGAATAATAGCAACAATTTTGGACCCACTATTAAAAAAAATAATTTTATTAAAAATGAAGTTCTTAATCACGAAACTATTGAAAAAACTTATAATCTTTATTATGACGAAAAATTGGGAGTCAATTAGATGATATTATAAATGCTGATTCAACATCTAATATTTGTCAAAAAATTACATTACCATCATCAAATTCATTTTTTAATGCATTTTTTGATGATAATAATGAAGATAATTTTATTGAAAATATTAATGAAGTTGATGAAATTGATGATTATTTAAGTATAAAACCACTGAAACAAAATTATAACTCTCTTAATTGGTCATTCAAAAAGTTTCTCTTTATTAAGCAAAATTACGCTTAAATACTTAACTATACCAGCTACATCTGTTCTAAGTGAACAGCTATTTTTAGATACTGGATTGCATCTTACTGCACATCGCAATTGACTTGCTCCAGATTTAGTTGGCCAGTAATTATTTTTAAAATGAAATGTAAATTTATTACCAATTTTCCCTCTGTCTGATTGAATTAGGTTATTACTTATTGTTTTAATGTTATAAAGAGAGGAATAAAAGTTAATTTTGATTTGTATAATTTTTGGCAATAATATAAATAGTAACAAACTTTTTTGTTTTACATAAATTAGATTAGCTAATTAAAAAAAATGTCTTTTCTTAAACAATTTATTAATTATTTTTTTCAAGACAAAACAAATGATCCAATAAAGATTTATTTTAATAATTATTAAAATTTAATTTTTATTTTAGACCGATATTAAATTGTAACTTAATTTCAATTTTAAACAATGAGACCAGTTTTGATAAAAAAACCGATTCACTGAAAATTTAGGCTGAAATTGAGCTACTACCTTTGATGAAATATTAGCTGATAATGAAAAAAAATACAAGATAAATGGTAAATCTAACTGAGTTTCCTGCTTCATATTTAATGTTAACTTCAATGCTAACTTAAAATAATAAATAAGATCAAGTCACTATTTTATAAACAATGAGAATGATTATGATTAGTTGTTTTATTTGGTAATTTTCAATAACGTGACATTTTGCCAATCAATTTTTAAGTTCAGATCATATTTGTAATTGGACAATTATTTAAAGAATTTTTTTTTTCTGGGATTTTAGATATTACTTCAGTTTATTTAAAGAAATAATTAACTAAAAACTTTGTAAAATCTAATAAAAATTATTAGATATTATTTTCTACTTTAACCCCATCTACAAACAAAGTCAAAGAATATTCTATTGAAATTTCAATAATTCTAATGATAAGATTCAAATGCTAAAATTAACGTTAGTTACTGATTTATTTTAAAAGTACCGTAAAAATTATGAGTGTATAGTATATTAGTATAGTACAATAGGATTCAAAATGTAAGGTATGATTGATTATGTTTAGGTAAGATACAAAATTATACTAATCATACCAATGTGTTAAATAATCACAACAAAAAATCATTAATAATTTAATCCTTTAGGTACTATTAATCATATGATGGTATGATATAAATCATACAGTTATATCAAATAATCACAATGTGGAAAATCGTAAATCCAGATATTATTAATCATTTCGTAAATAATTATTTTATGTATGATAGTATGATGATTGATTTTGCTGATTTATCTTTTTCTTTAACATTAATATTTTTCCATACCATTTTTTTTATTTAAATTAACCCTTTCTCTTTAACACATTCACTTTATCATTTTATAATCATGTCTATATTATTTGACACAGATTTAGATGAAATGGATGAACCGTTAGACTTTGATCCTTTGTAAGTTAAAAATAAATAATCAAGTATAATTGAAAAATTGTTAAAAAAAAATTATCAAGAAACAATGTAATAGAATAATAAATGAATTTATTTATTTAGGCAACAGAAATCAATTCAGCTACTGAGAATGATATAGAGTCTAAAATAGTAGTATTTATAAAAGATACTAGGATCAGAGATGTTAGACATTCTTTGGTTTCAATTGAATATCCAGTAACCTCAGAAGAAGGAATTGCATATATATATCATGTTGAAAATTAGGCAGGTCCTAAGGCTACATTTCATGATGTAAGTAAATTTGAATATAAAGTTATTTGCAAAAAAAATAAAATAACACTTTTTTAAATAAAATAGATCTAATACTCACTTTCTGATCACAGTGGTGGTTCTTCCAGTATTGGATGTCCATTTTTTAGTAAAGACATAAATAATCCTGAAAATAAAAAATGGGTTCAGGTTAAAAGGTAATAAAGCATTGCGGAAACGTTAAAACCTGTCAGTTAGCTAGTCTAAATATCTCGAAAATATCACATAATAAAGTAGATTTTGAAACTAATCTATTTATTTGTGAAAATAGTTCTAGTAATATTCCAGCAGATAGGCTTACAAGAATACTTACTCAAATGTAAGTTATAAAATCTATATTTTAAATTATAATTTATAATAATTTATTTTTTTATTATATTTTTAGAGAATATTTAACAGCAATAAAAATGCGATGCTTTTATCCAAATAATACATTTACTTGTGATGGTAAAGCTAAAATCAAACGTTATCTAGTTCATACTACAAATCAATAAAATGAGTTTATAGGATGCGATAAATAAAAGCAGAATGAAAAAGGTCAAATGTCTTTGCAGATTAAGGCTGGTGTAGATATCAATCTTTTAAAATCACTTTTTGTGAATCAAGAAAGGATTCTAAATCAGGAAGTATATATCTTTATTATACTTTTATATTATTTAACTTTATACAATTTATATTACATTTTTTATTAACTTTATAGGATGATACGAATTGCAATAAATTATACCCTTCAGGTTGTCATCAGAAGTATTGTGATAAGTAATTTTGCTTTTATTAATATTATGATATTTATTAAAAAAACTAATAATTATTTTGTTAAATACTGTTCATCTCTTTCAAGGATTAACACAAAGAATAGAATTAAAGCGCATTTCTTGTTTAGTTGAATTTAAAATGTTAACACCTTTAAATTTACAGAGATTTTCATTCGTAATCTTAATATCTAAAGGAATTCATATACATGCACCACTACCATTATCTAAATCTCCTACTTGTATAAAGTCATAACTAAAAAAAACTTATTAAAAATACTAAAAATCAGCTTATAGATATAACTGCACAATAATTAGTATCAGGTTAGCTTAATTTATTTATTATTTCTTTATAATTTCTTTTATTTCTAACTTCTTTTTTAATTAGGTTATTTGCTTAAAAGTGTGTATGGAACAAATATAACTTTTGAAATTCATGCATCTCTTAATAATATTGATAAGCTTTGATATTTAATTGCACAAGTTCAAAACTAACAACATCTATATGGTCAAGGAATACTTGGCGTAGTATATGATTTTCATCAAAATACTCAAGAAATAAAAAATTATATTCAAAAAATTAGTAAGTAACAATGTTAATTATAATTTATTATTTACTTTTATTTTATAATATAGAATAACTATATATGTAATTTTAGTTTTTTTAATAATGGTTATATAATGATTTTATGTATTACTAATAAACAAGCGGCAAAATGCACTGAATTTAAATATTTTGAAGTTGATCTTTCATTCTAACATGTTCATAGCAATATTAATGAATTGGAATTTAATATATATGAAAATGTTTCTAAAACAAGTAAATTTAACTAATTTATTAATTTTTTATTTAAATTATTTTATTTATTTTAATCAAAATTTTGTTTTTTATAAGTTTTAACATTTTGTAAGATTTTTACTAATATTGCAACTAAAGAAGCATATCAATGAATGTTTGAAGCCTTTTTTAAAATAATTGAGAAGTTATCTAATAAACCTGTTCATTTTCATCATATACATAATGATGGTTGGATATATATATTAGCTGATTTAGATCAAGCTTAAGCATTAGGATTAGGAAAAGCTATAAAGAAAATAGATCCTATACGTAAAGCTAAAGAATATTTATGTTATGTATTTAAATCATATCATATTCATTATAAAAGGTAAGAATTTTATATTATCTAAATAAATACAATATAATATTTGCTAACAATTTTATAATTTTATAGAAATATCAATCACTATTCTTATTGCTCAAATATTAAACATGATATGCTTGAAATTCTTAAAGCAAAATTATTAGAAGAAATTCATCAAATATTTGAATAAATCCAAATGCGTAATATATAGATTAAAAAGGAGATTCTGATGTAAAATTCAATTAGTACTCAGAAAGATTCCTGCCACCTACGAATCAATTTTAACTATATGAATCAAATTATAAAATTCAAGCCTCTAACGCATTTTGACTCAATTCTAGATGATGTTATCGAACCTGACTAGGAATTAGCCTGTCTGATATCAAGAACTATACTGTTTGATATAATCATTTTAGCCTGATTTTAATCTCAAATAATATATATAAAAAATTTTACTATTCTGTTTGCCTCAGGAGGTGCCATCAAAAATCAAAGAACAAAGTAATGCGATTTAAGCTGAGCCTGACATTGCAAACCCAAATTTAATATTAACTTTTATGCTATTCTGCTTGCCTCTGGAAGGGGCTATCAAAAATCAAGGAATAAAGTGACGCAATTTGAGCTAGACCTGATCATGCAAGCCTAAAATGCAGAGCAAAGATCAAAAGTTTAACCAAAAAAATTTGCCTAGCCAAATTTATCCAAAAAATTTAACCAAAAGATATTATCTATTCTGAGTATTTTAAAGCTTTATCATATAATCTGTTATAGTATTAGATTATATAATAACCTTTAACATGTAGTAGACACTGCTCAGAAGATGAACTAGTAGCTTATCACATATACTACATGGTACACGTACCTTAGCTTTTTAATACTCATGATACCTTTCTTCATGCATACAAGACCTATCACAAGTCTTGCCAGTATTGTGCAAATATGGACAGAAATATTCTTTGATCATTTTATTATAAAGGAAAATAATTAATTAAAGAGAAAAATATGTAAAGGTATCATACAAAAGTTTTCTTTCATAATAAGTACACAAATTCCATTAACTAATACTAAGCCAACATCTCAAGATATCGAAAAGGCATTAATTAATATCGTCAAGGTAGGCCTTTACTATAGAAAACTAAAAGATGGAAAATTAATATTAAGCTACAAAGATTGGGTTAAGAAATTACGTCAGGCAGAAGATCCCGAAGAACATGAATTAAAATTAGCTCAAAATATCTTCCCCAATAAAGATAAGTATAATCAAATAAAAAATGACTATAAGGAATATTACGGGCGAGATCTCAGAATTCTTAATGCAATCATGGATCTATATAAATTATACTATGAATTAGCTAAAGATAATTTTGTTAAGAAAGAATAAATAGATAAAGAGACAGAAGACTATTTTAATTTGTGAGCACCCACTTGAAAGGCAATTCTGTATCATAAGGAATAATCATCAATTTTTCATGAACAAAAGATCTTTTAGGACGTTTGAGAATATAATCATTATTATTAATTAGCTCAAAGGAGACTTCTTCTAGCCAGTACAAGACTGGCTGATTTTTTTGCACTATAGATTTACAGATATGATAAATATGCGGAGACCAATACAAATTTTTAGCTCTTCATTTACTTCCTTCCTGATCACTATGATATAATAAATATCTAATCAATACATCATCAGAAAGCTTCTCTTCATTAAATCCTATAGAACCATCTTGAGGTTTAGAAGGTTTAGATATAATACTTTTTCTATTTATTGCTTCAGCAGGTGAAATACCAAGTTGATGTATGATAGAATTATTAATATTTTCTACTATTGTAACAATAACATTTGGTAAATCTTTTATTAAAGTCTTTAAGCTTTCATATTCGACTGAATTAAGAAGATGTGGAAAAGTAATCAATAAATCTTTTCCATCAAGAATACAATAAAATATCTCAGTAAATGTTCTGTTATATCTCTCAACAATACCCATAGTATTTTAAGACTTAGCTTTCTGAATTTTTATGCCATGCTTTCTTAGTAATTTTTTACATTTGCCTTTGAATTCAGACACCTTATCTGATAGAAATACTTTTGGCCAAATAAGAGGGTTTTCAGGATCATCATAAATTTTTTCTAAGCATTTCGCAATTGTAAATGAAGTTAAAATACCTTGCATATTCCTAATACTCTTAGCAGGTCCCTTAACTAAAACTCCAATAATCCCAGTTCAGTTCAGTTCAAATTATAAATCCAAAAAATGTCATTCTAAACTGAACCGATCTGAAATTTTTGAATAATCCGATCTGAACTGAAAATTTTGGATTAATCTGAAATTTTAGGTTATTAAATACTAATAAAAATCGCTTCGACAGTTCGGACGTGACTTTTATTATCATTTTTCATAATAAAAATCCTCTGACAGTTCAGTTGTGATTATACATGAAGTCGAAATGAAATCCCAAAAGTTGAAATGTTTCGACTTTGGAGTTCAAAGTCGAAATGAAAAGTCGAAATAGTCGAAATTACGTCATATCACATGATTGTTTATATATAGAAAAAATAAAAAAAATAAAAGATTTACGATCTTGGTCAATATCGCTCCGATTCGTATGTAATAACTACCATTCGAATCCTTGCGACTAGACAAATCCAATAAGCTAACTTTCATTGAATTTGGATCATCGCATCTCGAGATATTTGCGATCGAATGTCAAAATCCGAACTCTTTTATTTTAAAGTAGAATTTATTGATTCATAATTTCGGCTGATAATACAATTGCGGTTATCTCGAGATTGGATGATCCGAAATCAATGTATGTTAGCTCATTGGATTTTTCTAGTCGCGGAGAATTGAATGGTAATAGTTTCATACGAATCGGTGTGATATTGACCGAGATCGTAAATCTTTTGTTTTTTTTTGTTTTTTCTATATATAAAAAATCATGTGATATGACATAATTTCGACCATTTTGACTTTTCACTTCTAATAGTCAAAATGATTTCGACCATTTTGACCATTTCAGATATCCGAAATGATCTATTTCAACTTCATGTATAGTTGTGATAATAAAGCTGCCTCTGATAGTTCAGGTGCGACTTTATTAGAAAATGTCGCATATAAAGTGTAGGGGGTTGACTTTAATTAGAAAAATAATAATAAATTCACCTTCGAACTGTCAGTCGACTTTTATTATGAAAAATAATAATAAAAGTCACCTCTGAGCTATCGGATGTGATAATAAAAGCTGCCTCTGACAGTTCAGATGTGACTTATTAGAAAAAGTCACATCCAAAGAGTTGGAGGCAGCTTTTATTAAAAAAAAATGATAATATAGATGCATCTGAACTGTTGGGTGACTTTAATTATAAAAACTATTAATAAAAGTTCTTCTGAAAGTTCGGATGTGATAATAAAAGACGCTTCTAACAGTTCAGATGCAGCTTTTTTAGAAAAAGTCACATCTGAACTGTCGGGCGACTTTTATTATAAAAAACAATAATAAAAGTTTCACCAAAAGTTCAGATGCAATAATAAATGCTGCAACTGACAGTTCAGATGCAACTTTATAAAAAATGATAACAGAGTCGCATTTGAACTGTCAGGCAACTTTTATTATAAAATATGATAATAAAGTCACATCCGAACTGTCGGGTGACTTTTATTATAAAAAATAATAATAAAAGCCGCATTCGAATTGTCAGAGGTGACTTTTATTATAAAATAAGATAATAAAGTTGCATCCAAATTATCGGGCGAATTTTATTATAAATAATAATAATAAAAGCTGCATCTGAACTGTCAGATGCGATAAAATGCCGCCTCTGACAGTTCAAGTATGACTTAATTAAAAAAGTCACACTCGAATTGTTAGAGATAACTTTAATTATTTTATAAGAATAATAATAAAAGTCGCAGCCAAACTGTCAGAAGCGACTTTATTATAATTTTTTTAATAAAAGTCGCCTGACTGTTCAGGTGACTTTTATTATTATTTTTTTATAATAATAGTTACTTCTGACAGTTCAGATGTGACTTTTATTATTATTTTCCTAGTACTGACAGTTCGGTGTGACTATTTTTTATAATAAATGTCACATCTGAACTTTCCAAGGCAACTTTATTAGTATTTTTTTCTAATAAAAGTTACTTCTGAAAATTCAGGTTTGACTTTATTGTATTTTAAAAGTCACTTTTGACATTTTGGATGTGACTTTTATTGGTCATTTTCCTAATAAAAAATGTCTCAATATTCAGAAGCATTTATTATTAACCAAAACTTCAGATCAATCTGAAAATTTCAGATGTAAGACATTCAGTTCAGATTTTTTTCAGTCCAGATTGAATTATAATCCGAAAAAATCTGAACTTATCCAAAATTTTTCGAATTGATTTTTTTATAATCCGAACTGAAAAAACTGAACTGAACTGAAAAATTTTCGGATTGATTTGAACTGTTCAGAGCTTTACCCCTAAGTGTTACAGGTAAGACGAAAAGTTGTAGAGTATAACCAGGATGTTGAGTAGAGTATAATGCTAAAATTGAAGTTGAGTATAGCATATATATTTTTTCATACTCAACAGTATGTATATTAATTATAGAAACATATATTGTATAAATACTTAATATACTCAATTGCTCAATTGTTGAATTAATAAAACTAGAAAATGGAAACTATTATGATAGTAGATCAGCAGTAGTATTTCTAAATATGTGGTGAATAGACAAACCTTCATTTAACGTAAAGTATCCTCCGCTATGCTTTAAATAATTATTTATGGTTATATTTATGCCTTATTTAAATAAATATTACACTTATTTAATTAATATTTTAGTGTTAGAATTTCCATTATATTTATTAAATTGATTCAAAAAAATTTTTCATTTTCTAATTAATTCTAATTCATGCTTCTTTACCAGATTATTTAATTCCATTACGCAAATTTTAGCTTCTCGTTCCCTTAAAGTGAATTCCCGTTCTTTTAAAGCCAAATCTCTTTCCCGATATTCAAGTTCACTAAAATTCAAAATATTTTCCTTATTGTCTCTATTATTATTTTTATTATTATCACAATCATTCTCAGAATCATCAGAATGAATCATAATAACTTTAGCAGGTTTCTTTTTACCGGAACTTGTATATTTACATTTTGTAGATTTTTTGGTTTGTGCTTTAGCTAATAATATATAAGTAAATTAAAAAATAAGTTTAATAAATTAATAAACAGAATAGAAATTAAACAGTTTTGTTATACTACAGTATTACTTTAATAATTTATATAATTTTTTACCTTTACGTTTATTAGACTGAACATTATGAGTAACTGGCCCTTTATCACGTTCCCGATTAGATACATTATATTTTTGATGTATATTAATTGAAGTAAACCGTTCCTTGTCCAATTTACATCCTCTATTATAAAATTATTGATTATTATAAAATAAAATTTTAAAAGTAATCATAATAATTACAATTACTTACTGTAAAATTACTGTAATAATTTTAAGATTTTTCTCACGATGATTACTTAAGACATGAGCAGCTTTAGCAGTATTAGTATTATCAGGAGACGTTATTCAAGTCTCATGATCTATCTTGGATATGCACTTATTTAATAATGCAATTACCCAATCCTGTTGATAAAATGCTATCCAATCTATAAAAAAAATATTAAAGATATTATTAATAAAAATTATTTGTTAAAGAAAAAAATATTAAAAATTTATAATCCTGCAATACTTTCATCGGCCATTTGAATCTTTTCAAATATTTGTTTAACTTTATCTTTTGATTCGGCAGTAATAAGTGCATACATATCATTTATTACATCATCACTATATTTTTTTTCCCGAATTTTTCTACATAATAAAACAATAAAATAATATACTTGTAAATAAATAATTATAAATGATATTGCAAATTTAAACAATGATAATAAATTAAAAGTATTATTTTTACCTTTTATAATGAACTTGGCAGGATTTAAAAATATGTACTAAATGTTCCTGCCAGTTTTTTGTTGCATCTATTTTATTTAAAACTAGTCCAAGACCTTTTCCTTATGCATAATCTAAGTCTACAATAATGCAACTCCAACTGGAACTATGAATATGTTTGAATTGAGGTAGTAAACTTGTTAATTCAAACACAAGATCAAATAATGTGTGAAAAACTCTTTAATATGCAACAGTTATTACACAATTAGTAAAGACCTGAGTAAAAGTAAGAACTAAAAATAAAATAATTTTAATTAATATAAATTTTTCGTATTTTTTTTAAAAACCACATTTACTTTATTTTGTATAAATTTAAAATTTAGAATAAAGAATTGAAATATCTAATAAAAAACTTACTCAAATTATGTTCTGTATCATAATAATTAACTTCAAATTCATTTATTTGACCTGCTACACGCTTAAAAGACAAATTAATTTAAAAATAATCACATTTTGTCCATTTGACTAATTGTTCTGAAGTAGTACAAATAATCATTACATGTCCATCTTCAAAAAATTCTAATAATAAAAATAAGAAATATTAATGCAAAAATTAATTAGATTTCAAAATAAAATGTTTAATTACCTAAGCGTTTTACATAATCGCAAAAGTTATTAATATTATGAGAATAGTTGTATACAACACCAAGAAGTCTATATCCTTGTGGATTAATTTCCTTTTGAATTTTATTAACATAATACTGAAGATGATCAGCATTATTTAAAGAAGCATGTACAGTGCCCGGCAACAAATCACCGGTCACGTAACGCCGATCAATTTTAATGCAAATTTTTAAATTCAAATTACTCGATCATTGTCACACCAAATTTAATAAAATTTTTTTTATTTGCACGATAAAAAACTTCAACTATTTATTAATACTTTGTTGGATGACCTT